GACAATTAGGCCACTTTTGAAATTTTCTTCTAACCAATAATTCGAAGGTATTACATAAATTGCAAATACAAACGAGAATAGTCCAATTATATAACTTAACCATGAGAAAACTTGGTAAGCAGTCGACATTTGTAGATAATGAAAGAGAGAAATTAATTTTAATGATGAATAAGAAGTCAAAAGAAAAGACTTTAGAAATTGTCGTTTTTTTGTTTGGTGTAAATATAGAAATGACTATTTAAATATGATATGAAAAAACGTTAGAAGAAAAAAAAAGATAAGAAAATAACGTCATAATGAATTTACGTAGATATTTTAATATGACGTTTGTCTTCATTCTAGAACGTCATCAATTTTATCTAACAATTTTTCGATGTGAAAAAATCATAGAGAATTGTTTGAGAAAAACAAATTTCGAATTTGATCTGAAAAGATTTATAGTGTAGACCGAATGCTATACTGTTGATTTTTCTCTTAGAGAGAATTCTATTCTATTGTAGAGTATTTCTGTTGTAATTAACTTAGTTTTATCACAACGATCGATGCGACATATAGGTATACATGTTCACTCTCATCTTTATATTATTGAAAGAATCTTTGTATATAGACAAAAAACATGTATATTTTAAATTTAATTATTTATTCACAGATAATATAAATTACAAATAGAAGAGAAAAACAAATAGGTGAGTCTAGAATTTCGATTGATGATGAATAAAAATGAGAAGATATTGTTGAATATAATGATAGACTAACCAAAATTCTTTTCTAAATGTTGATGATCCCAATGTATATCTATACAAAAATTAAATATGAAATTAATAAAAAATCTCATTCTATTATACAGATATCAACAAAGGCAGGTAGAATAGAATATTTATCGTCTTCATTTAACTTGAATAAATTCTTTTACCACAGACATGCATAAATATTCGCGCTTTCATCTACCGAGTTAAAATGAATTAATTAGTAATTTGTGAGATATCGGTCGACTGATATAAGGAAAAAGCCTAGAACTTTGAGAGTAGACTTTCGGACCCATGGCATATCTATAAGAAAATTTTGCTCATAAAAACGAGATTCTCATAGATTCCATCAAATCCCAGAATAAAGATGTCTGCTTTATCATTATCTGAAATTCACGAGGAAGAATTCATATCTTTTTGATTTTTTCTTTTGTATATTCATATCCCGTCACGTCGCTAACGAAAAGTAAATCGAATTTTTTTCAATCTGTTCATGATTCGAAAATACTTTGAGCAGTAATTTCAAAGCCGCTTGAATTGTCTACAGACTGTACTATTTAATTTCCTAAGATATTGTTCATAATTAGAAGTCTTTTTTAAGATAACATCAATAACGCTTGTTTTTTTTATCGATAATTATTTGAAAAATACCCATTCGCCTCTTATTTTGTAATCGAGAGCAGTCTTCTATTTTTTCTTGTTTTGTATATTGATATTCTGAACTCAAAAACAATATTTTCTGTAAAGCAAATAAATATTACTTTCAAAAATAGAAAAATATATTTGGTATTTTAAAAAAATGACAGAAATCTAAATTAATTGATCAAAAATTAAAGATTTTTTTTATCACTTTTTGAAGGATACCATTTATATTAAATCAACTTTTGTAATGCCTTTTTGGTAGTATACATTCGATCACAACATATCAACTAAACTACCTTATATCATTAAATTAAATAATTTTTATTTTCGTTTCTCTAGAGTCGATTATAAGGAAATAAAAAAATTATGACTTTTGTGTAAAAAACAAGCAAAAATATGACATTTGTGATGATGTAACGAATAGTAATTTTGATCGATTTCATTTTCATAAAAATCATGAAATCAAATTAATTAAAAATCAAAATCATATCAAATGAGTTTAATGCAAGTTATTATTTTAATATAATTTCCTTCATTTTTTTATTTTTTCGGTTCACAATATAATATGCTTCAATGTGTATTTTGTATAATTATTTACTCTATTTTTTTTCTAATATTCGATATGTGTGACAACGTGACTATGAAAAAAGATTTTTTTTTTCGTTCTGTGATTTTTTTTCAATCCTGTATTTATACCACATATATATGATATTTTTTTATCGTATGTTTTATCATAACTCAACGAAGTAATAATTACAGTATAGAGCTAGTTCCGAGTTACAACCCTTAATTATGTAATATTAATTTGGTTTTTTCCAACATAAGTCTCCTTTTAAAGGGATCGACAAATAATTATTTGTTATAAGAAAAATTTTCATTGCTAATCAAGACAAAATATATTAAGTATTTTTTTAATTTAAAATGGGAAACATAATCGATACATTAATGGGCTATGTCTTTAATCGACGTCAGAATGCAAATACTGCTCCTCATTCTTCAACGGATCATCCAGAAGAGCTTCCTCCTAACCAGTTACCACCACCACCGAATCATATTAATCCTACAGCAAAATTATCAATATCATCAATATCAACATTGAAATCAAGAGCTGTGACAACAAGATCAGCTGACGTAACATCAGAATTAGACCTGACAACAATATCTATAGAAAGAAGAATAATTCCACCAGTTGAAATAGATATAATATCATCATCAGTAACAACAACAGAACATCGATGTAGTGATTTTTATATTGCATGTCGTACAAATGATATTGATAAAGTAAAAGAATTACTTCCTCGATTAACACTCAGTGATATCGATCGATTAGAACCAAATGGTAGCACTGCACTCCATTCAGCAAGTTATCATGGTCATGAAGAAATTGTTGAATTATTATTAAAAGTAGGAGTTGATCGAGCAATATACAATATATTCGGATGTTTACCATTTGATGAAGCTAAAAATGATAAAATAAAAAGATTATTTCTTCGTATACCAAATACAGATAGATTTTTATCAAATACTGGTTCAATTGAATGGGATTTAATCACTGCTGATGCTTTAGAAACAGCTGCAGAAATACGGCATGATATTCAATCTATCTATAATAATACAAGTGGATTAACTTCGATCGATAAAATGTTTGAAAAAATTTATAATAATTATATTAAAGATGGATTAATTAATTTTGAAGGCGATGAAAAAATCATACGTTTTTTTCGAAAAGCAATTAAAGAAAAAGATCCGAAATGGATAATTAAAGCTTACACAGCAGAAACGGAGTTTTATAAAATTCTTAATAAAGAAATAGCAGGTGGAGCTTCACGATTTCAAAATGAACGAAGATATATAATAACATTACTTATACATCATCCAAAATTAGATGAATTAACATATGTTGGTCATTCATATCGTGTTTTACAAATTACTCAAGATGATTTAAATAAATATGAAAGAAATTCTTGTCTTATGACAAAATCATTTTTATCTTCATGTATTGATCAAAAAATTGCCGAATTATTTATATTAAGAAAAGAACTTGCAGAAAGAGGAACTATCATGCCAGTACGTACGAGAGTTGATGGAACAATTATGAAATTTTGGGTTATGTGTATTTATCATATAAAACATCCACGTACTGCTTTACATATTGAAAATTCTTCACAATATGCAAATGAAGGAGAAATTTTAATTATGCCTTATAGTGTATTTAAGATAAAAAGAATTAATCATATGAAACCGTTATCTGTACCAATCGATCAAAAAATGACACAAATTGAATTCGAAGAATGTGATCCATTTCTTGTTAATACAAGATAATAATATATATTCGATTTATTAATACAAAGAAATTTATTGAACTTTTATTTTCTTCAAAACTTTTACTCAATTATAAAATCAAATAAAATATTCTCTTTCACGTAGAGAAGAGTCTGGTAAACATAAATTGCTTGATTGTGTGTCCGCACTTCACTAATTGGTCTAAAAATTAGGTAAAGATATAAAAGGAATTTTTTTTATAACAGTGATCGAGGAACTCGAATCGCACGTTAGTTTTTTGAAATTGTTTGATTAAATATTTTACTCATAATTAAGACACATCGTTTCTACGAAAAAGAGCTGAGCGTTACTTGTTCATATTCTACAAAAATACATAGAAATCAATTAATATATGAGCAGTCATTTTATTGTATGAGAAATAATGTAAAAACGCGAGATTTAATGCAATTTTAAATAAATTATGTTAATATTAACGAGAATTTCCAATCTTAATCGATCCTTATCAACCAAAAAATACAAATATAATAAAGTTATAACCAATTTTAGTTCGTTTATTTAAAATTGCATTAAATCTCATGTCTTTTACATTATTTAGTAGTATTTCGTACGTGAGTTATTAGTAGGTATATGGAATAAATTCAATTAAATTTAAAAGATTAAAATTAAGGTTCAACCAAATGAATTTCTTACTGTTGACAAATAATATCATTGTCAATTGTTCATGTTTATGTATGTTGAGGTTAAAGTTTTCGTATATTTGTAACATCACTGTATTTTTTGATTGATAATGGTCGATTAAGATCGAAAATTTCCGTTAATATTAAAATAAGATATTCACATGATTTATTCTACATTTAGTTTGTTTATTTAAAAAGTCATCTTATTCTGCCAAGAGAAAGGGGAGATGAATATGCATCGAAAGTTATATGGATCCTAGGATTTGTAGTGAGGTATTTTCAACAAATTCCTTGTTTTTCATATATTAAAAAACTCGATTTTTTGTCAAAATATAACAAAACCTTAGCTAAAATTTTTTATTATTATTAGTAATTACAAATAAAATCTTTCCATAGTTTCTGTTGCTTATAGAACTCTCCCAAAAATTAATAAATTCATATGACACATACTCTTTTTTCTGATAGGTTTATATGACAGCCTTAGATAACGTCTTCATCGGTGAAACGTGTATCCCACACTCTTGTTCTTATCATAAGTTATTGAAAATATACTCACCCACGCTTTATTTTAAAATACGCATTACAACTTTCTGTTGTTATCTATGATAGAATATTAAATCAATATCTGATTTAACTCAATGAGAAATAAAAAAAAGTGATTTTTATTAGATAAAAAGAGCAAAACTAATCTATATATATAAATACTATAATGGATACCAAGCTGCTGGTTTACATGATTCAATTCTAAAAACTAACCAAAAAAAAGCATAAATAATTAACATAATAAAATATAAAATATTTGGTTGTATAACCCATTTAGCTTTTAAAATAATTTCTTTTGCTTGTTTTGGTTTAGCATGTGGACCAACTAAACGATATTGAGCATTTAATAATGGTCCAAACATTAATTTCATCCATAATTTTGGTTCTGTAAAAAATATCTTAGTAAAATTAGGTCGACATCCAATAATTCTTGCTAAATCATCTGTATAAATTAAATAATCAGTTAAATTAGTAAGACGATTTACTCTATAAGGTGTTAATTGCCATTCTAAATACTTCACATATTTTGAAATTTGTTTATTCATATCTGTTTTATTTGGTAATTTTAATTTATTTGAACATAATAAAGCAAAATAACGTGCTTGAAGTTCAATTAATGGTGGAATAGCACCTAATGCTGGCCGAGCAAAACCAATCCAAACAATTTCATCACCTAAATCAGGATGATAACAATGTTTATATAAATTATGTGAGATTTTCGATTGATTTACAATTGCTTTTAAATCTTGATCAGCATCGGAACTTAATTCAATAAATGGAAATGAATTTTGAAAACCAGTACAACAAATAATTTCATCAACAAATTCTTCTGTATTATCATTAAATATAATTGAATTTTTTCTTAATTCTTTTATCCCTGGTTTTCGTGAACATTTATCTTTATATTTAATTAATGCTTCAACTAAATTCGAATTTTTTGTTCCATATGTTGTCCAAATATTACTTGTTCGAATTTGTTTTAAATTCATATAGATTCCTTTACGTCTTATTAAATCATATTCAGTTGAGTGACCTTTTTGATAGATAAAACATTTTATATAAGATTTTATTAAACTATTTATCATATCAATATATGTATGGAGAATTCCCCATGCCCGTGGAATTGAATGATGAGCACGTGACGTATCTAAATCTGCTGGTCCATATTGATTACCATGTATATAACGTGGTATAAGAAATCCATGATCATTTCTTATTGATAAAAAAGCTTTTTTACCATATTGTGCAGCAGCTAATATCATATCACTTGCAGATTCTCCACTACCAACAATACATATTGATTTATTAGTAAAATCTTCATAATGTTTAATATCTTTTAAATGTTTGATTTTTCCTTGAAATAAATCTTGATTTTGAAATAATGGAACATTTTTATTACCAAATATTCCACAACATATTGCAATACGATCAAATGAATAAATATTTTGTGAATTATTTAAAAGAATATTCCATTTATTATTTGAATAATCTTTCCATAATGATTTAACTTCTGTATTAAATTCAATATATTTTTTTAAATGAAAATTCTCAGCATAATCATTTAAATATTCAGAATATTCAATAAATGATAACATTCGAGGTTCTTCAAGAATATTTTCATCTTTTCCAACAAAATCTCCAAACATAGTTAATATATGACTTGATACAAATATTCCTTGTTGATATGCTTCTCTATATAAACCACCAACACAATTTGATTTTTCAAAAACAGTACATTCATGACCTTCATCTAATAATTCTTTTAATGTAACTAAACCACTACATCCACATCCAATTATTCCAATATGTAATCGACGACATTTATCATTCATTCTAATAAAATAATCTGAAATTATTAAAAAAATTATTTTATTAATTATACTAGTACCAACCACTGTTTTAACCATTTCTATTTAAAACATTTGCTTTAATAAAGTGATCTACTTTTTAATGCGATGTGAAACAAAGCATTTATGCAGTTCTTCGTGAATTGTTTTTTCTTTCTTGACCTATGCATTCAAAATTGTTATTTTCTGTTACGATTATCTCAGCAACGAAATATCGAAATCGAATTAATACCATTCGCAGTGTTCTTTCAACATATGTTATTTTAAATTATCGTAAATGTTGAAAAATTTGTGATTCCGATATCGAAGTTCGCATCTAATTTACTCTTTGATCAATCATCTGACGAAATATGTTGTTTTTATATTCGTTGTTCTATGCTGAACTGAGAATATGCTTTTCTATGAAAGACTTATAATAATATGAAAAATAAATATATATATCTATTCATAAGAGATGATAATTGTTTTGAAAAACTAGAAAAAAACTAATTTCTAATATATTTTTGGCTAGGATTGTTTTTTAATTAATATTAAACTTCTTCCTAATAATAATCTAACCAAGGTTAAGCTCGAGAAATGGACTTGATGAAAATATTTTTTTAGTACATTTTACCTATATTGATAGAAAAAAACGCGACTATTACCTATATGATGAGAATAATCAAGAAAATAAGAACGTGTATTATATCAATCTCTATATGAAATAAATAAGAACGAAAGAAAAGAAAAACAACTGCAATCTTTTCATTTACGTTCTTTGCGTCAGACTATAAATATTTTTTTTCTTACTATATCATGATAATGCATTTTATAAAGTACTTTCAATTAAATGAAAAAATATCGGGACATTTTTTTCTAAGTACATTTAGTTTTAATTGTTAAATAATTTTTTCCTATTAATTAGTTATGATCAATTAAAATATTCAAGTCTATATCAATATATTAATTACAAGGAAAAAATCTATTTACATACATAAGTTATAGTCTATTCAAAAAGTCCGTACTTATCACTCATTTTTGAATAAGTCAAGGACGAATTATTTAATATGAGAATGTTTGCAAATAATCAATATATTAAACTATAGATATTAACTTTATCTACTGAGATTACATATCAAAATCTCATCATAATAAGAGATCGTTATAGTACAAGTTTTGCAATGGTTGATTGGTGAAAATCAGAAATTTTGTATCTGTTTGCATTGTTGACTATAACAATCCGTTACCTACCTTTAAAAAAATTAAACTCGATGTTTTTTTCCAGTACTTGTTATTTCTTCTAGGTATCTGCCCCTTTGTATTGCCATTTGTAAATGACTTCATTAGTTTATCCTTTTATCGTACATATATTTCATTTTTATGATATGATCAAACCTTTATTCTCTCTCGAACTTGTCCTTTAAATTCATACATTTATTAATATGTAAAGTTTTTCTTCTCACAATATATAAAGAACAATGAAATAAAGTGTAGTCATGCCTATTACCCAGACAGACAAAACTCAAAAAAAAAAACGGCGAAATACGTGTCGAAATTTTTCAATTTTAACGAAAATAAAATCCGGAAAAGCGCACATTTTTACGATTTTTATTTCCGTTAATTTTGTCTACTGTGATTAACGCGTTTCAGCGAATAATTACGGAGTAAATTTTGACGCAGTAGAACGCTTTCTGAAAAATTGCGTAGAAACGCGTTAAGACTTCGTAAAAACGGCGTTTTTTACAATGGTCTACTGTTAAAACGCTGTCTGAACGCGTTTTTTAAAGATCATGTGTGCCTGGGTATATCTAAAATCGTCACACTTATTCAAAAAAAAATTATATGCATAGACTTTTTGAATAGATTATAATTTAATAGATTTTTTATATTTAATTCTATAATTAATTCAAAAAAATCTCATCTAATTTCGATTTATTAAATATAGATTAATATTGTTATTGATTTAATTATTCAATAATAGTATTTTCTTGTGTATTGTTTCATTTAAGAAAAAAAAAACGTATAATCACTGTTATATACTTTCGTAAAAGATAATTTCATTGTCTATGCATTGTCATTCTGTATCAGCATGTTTTTATTTTACTTCGCCATTGTGATATGACGTCTATTTATTAAAGTCCATTTTATCTTACACCAGACATGAATCAATAAATACGCCTATATATACCCACAAAAAAACATTAGATAATATTATCACTAAAATTTATTTTTATTTCAATTGAATAATGTTTGAAAAAATGCATGTAAAGGTAATTTCAATTAATAATAATACATCAAAAATTATTGTTATTGTTTTTTTTCTCTTAGATAGCATTAATAAAAATAGTTCAGTATATAAAATCCGTCTATAATACAATCTTATTATATTTAAGTGTTATATCAACATTAATGACACCAGGAACAGTAATATGGAAATTATTTGGAAATCGAAAAGGCAAAGTTTGTTTATTAAATCGTGATTTAATATGTGATAGTAAAACATTGATGAATCTTCCGAAATGTGGTAAACCATTAGATGGATATACAAATGCATTATATCCATTTCTTCCAACATTTCTTCTTGATAATAATCAATATTGGATTGACCGACGTGATGTATTTTCATATGGAAATAATTTAATTAATAAACGAATATTTGATATCTCATTTGATTTTGAATTAAAAAGTAAACAAGGAAATATTCTTTGGGATATTTTCGAAATCATATCCAAATATTCATTTCAATTAGTTTTTAATCGATTACCAACAGATGAAGAATTTAATGATATTTATTCTGGTTTAATTGATATTAATAAAATAATAAAAAGAATATCATCAACACCAAATATTCCAATACGAAAAATATTTTATGATCGAATTTTAAAATTAATTAAAGATAATAATGAAAATTTTCTTTTTCATAATTGTGAAAACTTTTTTAAAATGGACGAAATTCATCAAGTATCATCCGTAGCTGAAGATTTTCTAACAACAATGGCAGTTCAATGTACAGATCTTGTTTGTCATATGCTTATTTTATATTCGGAATATCCGGAAGATTTTGAAAATAATTTTGAAAATTCTTTCAATGAAACATTAAGATTATATCCATTAACTGATATATGGGTTAGAGAATCATCTAATAATGAAAAAGGTTGGATTGCTTCATTAGTACAATTAAATCGCAATGGTTGGTCACAACCAAATACATTTAATCCTCAACGATGGGATTCAACGAATCATCCACCACTTATGTCATGGGGTTTTGATGTACGAAGATGTCCAGCTCAAAAACTTGCAACAAATATTTCAAGACTAATTTTCGAAAATATTATTCATAAAAATCAATTTTGGATACAACCAGCTGCAAATTTTCAACATGAAAGAACATTTCCATATGGTTGTCAAGTATCACTTGGTTATGGAGATAAACCACATGATGTTAAATTATGGAAATTTAATAATAAACTTAAAATGCAATTTCAAAGATGGTTATTTGAAAAATTAAGAATGATTGATCAAAATGAATTAAATTAATTCATTCATTTGTTTATTTATTTATTGTTTTGTCTATTAAATAAATTATTTTTTTAAATATAATATATATTAGAAATATTTTCAAAAACAAAAACAAGTTTAGTCAGAATTAAGATTTAGCACAATTTAACTTTGAAAATATATATTGAGATAAATGTAAAATTATAATAATTCGGCTAAACCCCCCTCTATATTAAAAGACCCTCCCATAATAGAAGATCCAGGTCTTCAAATTAAAAAAAATTTTAAGTTATTATTTTTTTTCATTAAATTGTCCATATTATTGTGTACTGTGCAACGAAAGATATAGAAGAATTGAAAATATAGTAATAGCTCGTTTATGCATATCTACAATATATTTTCTTCACGTGAAAATAGACGCAAATCGACTAAAATTAAAAATCAGAGGATAATCAAACCGAAGATGCAGAAAAATCATATATGAATACACTAGTCCAATTTAACCTCAGGAGCAACAAAAAATTGAAACAACTCAATTTGCATCAATTTTTGAACAAAAAATATTTGCAGTTATTGTTTGTTTTTTTTCTATTTTTATCAGAGTCGGAGTTAAAAAGGGCTGAGGTATAACTTAAGTTACAACTTTTGAGTTATAAATAATCAACTTTTCGGTCCAAAAGCTATTTTAGTTATAATTTTAAACTGGTTATAACACTTAACCGTGGTTAATGTAAGTTATTATTTCAAATCTGTCAACTAGGTAGAATTTCTATCTCTTTTATATTAGTGAGTAAATGAATCGAAGCCGTATTTTACAATATAGTTCATACCATTTTATCATTACCTTCTAAAAAATTCGTATTATCTCCTGAAATAAAGTTCAATTTTTAATTAAGAACTATCTGTCAAACAGTGGCTTCAGTTCAGTTACTCACTAAGGATAAAGAGAGAGAAATTCTATATAATTAACAAAATTGTGATAATAACTTATATCAACCACGGTTAAATGTTATAACCAAGGTTGAAAGTTATAACTACGGTTGTAATCATTTTAACTTTTCAAAATTTTATTTTAACTCCCACTCTGATTTTTATTTCATATTTATTAAATAATATAATCATGACGAACGGTATTGCCTGAAACTTCACAAAATGTGATATTGATTTTTGGTAGTTTACGCTCACAAATTCGTATTAGAAGACCATCCCATAATAGAAGACCCCTTTGAAAGTTTGATTCGCAAAATATAATAGTAGACCAGGGGGTCTTTTATTACAGAGGGGGGTTTATCATTTATGTGGTCAGTAAAATAAATGAAATGATCAGTATTTTATTTAAATGGTCAATTATTCCCTTTCTCATAGAGAAGAGTCTTGCAAACATCAATTGCCTGGTTGATTGCTTGTGTGTGTTCGTACTTCACTGATTAATCAAAAAATTACGTAAAGATATAAGAGGAATTTTTTTTATAAGGGTTGACCGAAGAATAATCGGGATCGAGGAACACGGATCTGATGATAATAATAAATTTTGAAAATAATAGTTTTATTACTAGTTTTGTAGAATTAACTAGGGCTTTCAGCACTTCAAGTGCCATCGTCAGTAGTAAAAATACTGTTTTGATGTTATATGTATTAATTTTATCAAGATCTGTTACATTATTGTCATCATTATTATCATTATTTATAGTTATACAGACTAATCTCATAATGTTTGTATGTGTTGTATATTTGTTGCTTGTGGTGTTCAGTGGTATACAATCGTAATTTCATTAAAATGCATTAACAGTATTAATTAACAGTATTACTACTGACGATGGCACTTGAAGTGCTGAAAGCTCTAGTTAATTCTACAAAACTAGTAATAAAACTATTATTTTCAAATTTTATTATTAATTGTTCAAGATCTGTTACATTATTGTCAATTCTGTATTGAATATTTGCATTAACATTTATTCAAACGTTTATAGTTCACTTATTCTTTATTATAATATGAATGTAGCAAGATTTTTTTTAGCGTCATTTGAAAGGTAATCTTCGATAAACGCACGATTGACTCCGAATATCAATGCATTTTGTCTTTATAAGAGAGGAAAAAAGGTTTGCTGTGATATGTGAAAGCATGAATCACTTGATCAATCAGATTTTTCTTTTATTATCAAGGTAAAACATATTCTTATTGAGATCATCCCAGGATTATCGACGAGTCTCTTTCAAATGTCTCGAATAAAATTAAACTTACCTCGAAACCAAGAGAAGAAACTTCTAGTAAAATCTGATTGGTTTGATTGTCAACTTATTAGATTTCACCAGATTTTTTTCTCATATTATGAAGGCAAAATATACTAGTTTTCGAGTTTATCATGGGGCTATCGAGTATTCTCTTTCAGATGATAATAACAAAAACCTGCGACGCTTATACTAAAGTCCAGAACAGAGGAGCTTTACATTCTTTTTGTTACACGTTTACATGTAATTTTAAATTAATTTCAGCTTTTTAAATCACGCAATTTGTTTCCCATTGTTATGAAATAATGTTTGATTATATGAAAATTCCCGAGATCATAAAGACGAACTATTTAAACAAAAATATAACACTGCATTTTGTGAATATTCGAAATTTTTCTAAAATCTTATTATTTTTTCTGATGAATGTTAATTTGAGATGATGAATAAAAATAAGAATTTTTCCTAATTAATTATTCACTTTGTTTTATAAAGAAAATATTCTTTTATATAACTTTATAATTCTCTTGAGAATTTTTCTCTTTGCGAAAAAGTAAAATTGTTTTTGTTGAGTTTATTAGTATTACTAAACATAGGTTCTTTCTAATCTAGTTCTTCTAGATAACAAACTTGAAGATGTCTCTATAATTGAGAAAAAATCAGCTTATTTGCTCGAACCGTAAGAGAAGTGTGTAAATCTTTTGAATAATTTATATATATTAATAAAAAAAAGTTTATTTTGATAAATTTCATTGTTTATAGAAACATTGATTTTCTTATTTTTTTTAGTTGAATATATTTATCAATTATTTTCTTCTGTTTTTTATTGATAAAACTAATAAAAGAATTGTTATCATTAAGAGAGTAATGGGTTTTTTGTCTATTGTAAAGTAAGGCGTCGTAAGAGTATAAGTAGATGACTGAGTATTTTTTTATCGATAGTCATCCGAAGAAAAGTGTAACAAATTTAGAAAAAAAAAATTTCTTTCAACAATTTCTATATTACAAGTTGTTTCAAGGTAAAAATATTTACAAAAACTCATAGTGATTTATTTTTTATTACTCGAATATTTGACTAAAATATACAAATTTTAGAAAATATATCTCCATTATAAGTTTGATTAATTTCTATATTTTCATCATAAGAGTCGCTTTATTTTATATATTATTCGATATAACAAAAAAAAGGTAGATGAATCGATGCTTTGATAAAATTTATTTTTAAATCATCAGTGAAGTCTTTTAAGAAAAAAAAATGTGTGCATTGATATAGTTTTTAATACTAAATTTCGATTATACTGATAAAGATTTTTACCTTTGTCAAAATGAAATGAAATCTATATAGATACATCAATTTTTAGACGTTTATTTTCTCAGTTGAACTATATATAAGAGAAAACGGTTTGTTTAAAAGGATAAACCAAATGAACAAAATCGATATGAAATATTTGAGAAAATTTTCATGTTTGGGTTAAACCCGATTCTATTGATAATACTTGAAAGACTGGCATGTTAACGCTGATCTGAAAAAAAGGAGGAATAGGGAGGATTCAATTAAAAATTTTTTGGAGGATATGCTGCAAAATGGGAGGAGCCTTTTTTTATGATAAAAAATGACATCTATGAGTTTTTTAGTACGGATATTCGCTTCGGAAGAGATCTAGTAATGGCTTTATAATAGTTTCACAATGTTTATTCACATCTTTGAAAAAAAGAATGAAAAATCAATCACCTGCGAGAAAACAATTATAAATCAAAACTGAAACATCTGTTAAATCATAACAACAATCTTGTATGATTATTTCATAACAATGAAAATTCTTTTTGAAGACATTTTATCATCTTCATTTTCTGACTGTTCAGAAACTAATTTTTTTTTTTTAATTGTTCATGTCCATCACGAACTCGTTTTTTACTGAATTATGAATACATTTTCGATGATTTTTGTCATTTCTTCATCAATAGATTTCTAACCAACTAAAGTCCGAGTAAAATGTCTGATTTTTTTCGTATATTTTCAAAGAAAAAAAATTTCTTTCAGTTAGACTTTTAGTCCATAGTGCTAGAGTAACTACTTTATTGAAAAGGAAATTATTCAGTGAAACCGTGATTTTTTTCTTTGAAAATACACGAAAGAAAATCAAACATTTTACTCGGACTTCTAGTTGTTTGTACTGTAGCATGGGATTTAGTCGAGTAGAGTGGCATTTCTTATTGAAGTATTATAATCTGAAAATTTTTAAGCTTTTAATGTCGAAAATTTAGTGACTTTGCAATCAAAATAAAAAAGGAGGAGTAGGAGGAGG